TAAGTGTAAAGTAATGCACATCGGGAGAAATAACCCCAACTATACGTACAGTATAATGGGGGCTAATTTGGCTATGACAAATCTGGAAAGAGATCTTGGAGTTATCTTGGATAGTTCTCTGAAAACTTCCACACGGTGTACAGCGGCTGTCAAAAAGGCAAATAGGATGCTAGGAATTATTAGGAAAGGGATAGAAAATAAGACCCAGAATATCTTACTGCCCCTGTATAAAACTATGGTACGCCCACATCTTGAATACTGTGTACAGATGTGGTCTCCTCACCTCAAAAAAGATATTTTGGCCTTGGAAAGGGTTCAGAAAAGGGCAACTAAAATGATTAGGGGTTTGGAACGGGTCCCATATGAGGAGAGGTTAAAGCGACTGGGACTTTTCAGTTTAGAAAAGAGGAGACTGAGGGGGGATATGATAGAGGTTTATAAAATCATGAGTGGTGTGGAGAGGGCCGATAAAGAAAAGTTATTTATTAGTTCCCTAAATAGAAGAACTAGAGGACACCAAATGAAATTAATTGGTTGCAGGTTTAAAACTAATAAAAGAAAGTTCTTCTTCACACAGCGTGTAGTCAACCTGTGGAACTCCTTGCCAGAGGAGGCTGTGAAGGCTAGGACTATAATAGAGTTTAAAGAGAAGCTAGATAATTTCATGGAGGTTAGGTCCATAAAAGGCTATTAGCCAGGGGATAAAATGGTGTCCTTGGCCTCTGTCTGTCAGAGGCTGGGGAGGGATGGCAGGAGACAAATCGCTTGATCATTGTCTTCGGTCCACCCTCTCTGGGGCACCTGGTGCTGGCCACTGTCGGTAGACAGGATACTGGGCTAGATGGACCTTTGGTCTGACCAAGTACGGCCGTTCTTATGTTCTTATGTTCTAACTGCCTACATTTTCCGTCTGGGATGATGGTTGAGATGCTTTTTGAACATACAAGTACTCAAGGTGCACTGAGGGCCTTTTTATTAACTCAGATGACTCATTCTCTGAAAATTTAAGATGTATTTCAGGTTGGGTACCCAAAATTACTCATAACTTTTGAAAAACTTAGCCACGTTTGTTAGGATATTACAGCTTGACACTGCTCACTGAGTGATGTGAATGGTTTTCTTTTGGGATTATGGTCAATCATGCCGTCCCATATTGAGCTGTATAATCCCATTAGTTCCCACATGCTGATCAAGGCTGAGTGAACTACATCATTTTTTGAATAGGTGAAGCTCTGAGGAACTCCTTTGTGCTGTAGGAAGGGATTTTGCTTTTTTAGCAGGTGGCATTCTTCATGCAGAGGCAGTAATGAGCCAATGTGATGATGGGCAGAACTGATCAAAACTTATTTAGATGAAAAACTCGTATTTTTTTCCATGGGAGGAAAAAAATTCCCCTTCCTTACACTTTATTTCCCTTTCCAAATGGAAAATTAAAACCAATGCAGAAAATATTCTGCAACCCCCCCCCCTCCAAAATTGTAGAATTTAATATTTTATATCAAAAGTGGAAAAACTTCTTTGCCAAACTGTCCTGAAAAGGAAATTTTCTCAGTGAAACATCCTTACAATTTGTTGATCAGCTCAAGTATTGGAACACTTTGCTGTTGGAAATGGTGTCTTTTTTTGGATGAGAAGTTAAATCAAGATCTCACTCACTTGTGGTTATTACATTTTTTCCCATAAGAGTTAGGGTTGTTAGTTCCTGTGTCTTAGCTAAATTACAATATTGGTAATTCTGTACTGCCTGCCTAATGTCATCTTTAGACTTGTGTCCTAAAATACTGTGTAGTGTTCTGCAGTCTGCCAGATAACTACTGTGTTTTCACACTAAGTGGTGGATGAAATGATCTTGTATATATTTCTTATACTTCTCTTGGGAGTCCTTTGGGATTACTTTAATAAATCTGTAAGCTACCAGAGTGTAATGAATAAAACTGAGGCAGACACAGATGAAAAGGTGCTGTGTTATATAAATGTATTATCTATATGGAAGCTTATGCACTTTCTGGGTTTATATATTATTTGCCCTTTTCTTTTTTTTAAACCAATGAAAGTTTTATAGTCTATGAATCTCATACTTCCCCTCCATGGACTTTGTGAGCACTCGACCATTTTCAGCAATGTACAGAAGTGTATTTAAAATCTTCTGTAAATGTGGTCTTTGGTTTGAGGGAGCAGCTTTCAGATTTACAAATAAATAGGTGCCACATGGGGAAGGGTCAAATTCTTGGACACATGCACATTTACTCCTTTTCAGATCTACAGAAGCCTTTACTACGTTCCAAAAGGTAGTATGATCCCCATGAACCCATCTTCCAAACCACTCTGCATTACAAAGGCCAAATTACAAATTTTGAAGTCTCTCTCCCCCTCCCACTTTTGCAGTCCTTCTTATAGCCCTTGAGGGACATGAGCAGTTAGCATAATGAGAGCCAAGAATTGCCAGGTGCCAGCTTTGGCTTGGGTTTGCCCCCTCTGCCGGAGATCAAGAGGAGATCTGATGTAGGAGCTTCTACAACAGCTCTATCCATTTTTCTGCATGTGGCTGGTTAAGTCAGAATTAGGGCTGCTTTGTATTGCAGGAGTCCTATAAAACTGCCATAAGAGACTGATGTATGGGTGTCTTTTTTATATATATATGAATGTATTTTAAACTTTTAATTACTTTTTATAGGAATAAAACATTTCATAGAATTGAAGCAGGTAAAAATAATCAGTCACCTCAGAATATAACATTCTAAATCATGTATGCAGAACAGTCAAGCCACTCAAAAGTTGATGTAAAATTCTCATATAGAGATAATTGGTTTAAAGATTTATGTTGTTTATTAGTAAGACACACTGAAGACTATTTTATAGAATGGTGTGTTGCCGTTTTCATATATTTTTATTTTTCTCCAATACAATGGAGAAGAAACTCACATGGAATTGAGAACATTCTAAGTATTGTATTTCCATTTCATCTTTCAGATTTCTAACTTATTCCTACCTTCTGGCCTTCAATGCTTGGCTTCTGCTAGCACCAATTACTCTGTGCTATGACTGGCAGGTCGGGAGTATTCCTTTAATTGAGTCGATATGGGATGTGAGGAATTTAGCTACAGTTCTTCTGGTGATGGTTATGATATTACTCAGCTTACATTGCATAACAGCATTCAAGGTAATTAAACAGTACACTAAAATCATATCAATTATATGTTGTTTGTGTTACTTAATCTTTTAAGGAAATGATCAATAAAAATAAACAGAATTAAGGAGTTTTTTTTTCCCAAACAGAATAGTGAGTAAGAGTAAAAATGCTTCCCTATAACTCTTACTGGCAAATCCAAAGGACTAAATCCAGCCATTGGATGTATACATCCAGTTCGTTTGCTCTGAGGCCAGAATTTAACCAAAAATATTGTATTGAATTACTATTAATGACCCAAAGCTGTTGAAGTCAATTAAAAATCTCTCATTGATATCCCTGGGCCGAATTCAATTGCGATTAATCAATAGGATAATCAATAATTCTTTTATCAGAATCTATGATTCTATCCCTGGGCCGAATTCAATTGCGATTAATCAATAGGAACCTTTCCATTGGCTTCAGGTATCTGTCCCTAGCTATCAAGGGTTAAATTGATGTTTGTATCTACACCTCTAAGCCAAGGAAAACATAAATATGGGGCACAGTAAGAGAAACAAGATGAAGTGTGATAAGTTGAAAATGACCTGGGAATTATTAACGTAAATGACATTGTTTAAACAAAAGTTGGTCCCACCTCACTGGTCTCTCTCATATCTTGGGACCAACATGACCTACAATCATACTGCAGACAATGTTGTTTAAATCCACTTTCTTAGGTCAGTATTGCAGATACATCACTTGTACTGAAAGTATGTAAATGGAATCATACTGGATTTGTGTGGGTAAGAGATTAAATACATGTTTACAATATGAGGTAACCCCAGTAAGGGGACAGTTGCAACAGATGAAGTCATATTTTGAGGTACAAGTCAGAAGCAATAGTTACTATACTAAGTGTTTTTGATCATTTTAAAAAGAATTCCTTCCTTCAGTGTACAGATAACTAAGCTGAAAAACCATTATTTGCTAACACAATTCTTTAATTATGCTAAAAAATACAGGTTACATTCATACTGCTTCCATACCCAGAGTTCTATATGTGCGCTTAATCGGAGGATAAAAACTACAAGAGTTTTTGGACTGTTAAGTCATTAATTTGGATTCTTTTAAAGGTCAACTAATGCCATATGACAAACATGGGAAATCAGTCTATTACAGATGATGTAGTTCTGCCTACAGGTCATATAGCTTTTACATTTTTCTTGCTTTTATTTTTTTATTGCTAGCTGCTTTGATGTAAAATCAGACTCTTTGGAGAGGATTTTTAAAGAGGGCTTTGCTTTAATCTAACTCTGCTCCAATTGAAGTAAATAATAACATTTCCATTTGCTCAACAGTGAAGGTACGTCAACATTGCACGGCTATTTTGGGATACCGGAGGTATCCTGAAATAGCTACCCTGCATCTACACAAGCGGCCCGTTATTTCAAAATATTTTTTTAAATAATGGGCATGTTATTTTGCCATCCTAATAAACCTCATTGTACGAGGGATAAGGGATGGCTCGAAATAGCACGTTATTTTGAAATTTGGCACTGTGTAGACACGCCAAATTTCAACATAAGCTATTTCAAAAGAGATTTGAAATAAGATACACAATTTGCACAGTGCAAATTGTGTATCTTATTTTGTGTTTAGGGTGCTGTATAGATGTTTCTGAAGTCCCACCATTTATTCCTTGAGGCTTCTTCTTTTCTTTTATCAGTTGTCAAAGAAAGGGTTGTGTGCAATGCAGGGGTTTCATTTCCTAAGATTTTGCTTTTTTGCTGCTTTGAGCCTTGTTTAGTTGAACCCCACCCCTCATTTTTACTTGGAGATCCTGGCTCAAACAATTACTAGATTATAAAGTAAAATGTGTCCCATACTAGCTATTTTCATGCCCAACCCCTGTGAAACTATAAATGACAGAGTTTTGACACAGAGCCATAATCAACCTAGGTTTACCAGCCTCACTGCAAACCTGCTCTGAACCTGGAGTTAATAATAAATCCTTGATTAAGGGGAGGTACATGTGAATTTGTTTTATAATTGTGACTGTTTCGCATACTTCTAGTCATAATTAGAGAGGGCTGAAATATACTGAAGTTTAGTATAAAAAGAAAAGGATTTTTGGTAAACAATTTTCCCATTTTTACTAGCTTTTGCAATAATTTGCAAAGTTACCTGCTGTGGAGAAGATTATGATGTCCCAAGCAGTAAGAGTTAAGGTGGGGAATGAACAATAAGAGCAGAAGAATTTTGTAGAAACAAATTATCCTGTTTTCATTTGTATGCTCCTATTTAAAAAGGCAGAGAGAGGAGGGAGGAGTACAGAGGACATGACTTGTAGGCACAATTTCTTTTTAATAGACTCTTTTAAAAAAAAATCACAATTCCAAAAGTGAAATAAGTGACTTTTTAAGATGATGCAGCTCACATGTAAAGGTGAAGACCATCATTCTACCAGACAAATGGCAGGCTGTTCTGGCAAGTTTGCTTATGCTGTTTAACATGAGGCACATCAAGCTTTTCACATTGAATTAATGTTCTGTTTTCTTTTTGAAATAATTAAAATGTGAATTCATGAAACTATCTGTTGCCTTTTTTCCTCTTTAGATTATCCCGTGTTACGGGTTTACAATTTCACTTAGGAATCATTTTAATGTTAATAAGGCAAGGATTACATAAATGCTCTATTCATCTTTGGAAAGACTGGGTGGAAGAAGTAATACGTTTTATTGGATCAGCTTCTGTTGGTGAAACTTGCAAGCTTTCAAGACACCGCATCCTTCTTTAGGTCTCTGTATAAGCTCGAAAGCTTGTCTTTTTTACCAGTACAGCCTGTCTCCGACTTACGAACTGGTTACAGACCAAGCAATTGGTCGTAACTCGGTTTGTTCGTAAGTTGGACCCCATTGAGTTACACGTGACCGTGCTTTTTTTAAGCGCGGATCGCGTTCGTAACTCGGGGTCCACCATTTATGACATTTTTGGTTGTAACTGCAAACAGTTGTAAGTCGACCGTTTGCAACTCGGGGACTGGCTGTAAATAAAAGATATTACCTCACTCACCTTGTCTGTTTAATGTCTTGTGACAACACAGCTACAACAACATTGCAAGTTATTCTCTATCACATGTACACCACATACATACCCTGGTTGCCATTAGTATTTTCTGTTCTGTGGTACTAAGAATAGGGAATCCTGTGCGCAAATGACTATGGCAAAATCAAAGAGCTGAGCACAATAAATGTTGGATTTGTTTTCCTGGTGGTGGGGTGGAGTTGGGGGCACATGCATGGAATATCTTGCAAGGACTGTAATTGCAGGATGCATGTGTTAGATTGATGGTTTTGTTGCCACTGAATTTTAAACAGGACTAATTTGTTGTTGATGCTTGTGATTAGGGTAATCATGCTGTTGGAAAGTATGTGCAGTGCTGATAAAATAATCTAAGCCTTGAAGGTTGATTGTTCCATTTAATTTTATGAATGCTCTATATTTATACTCCAGAAAGAACATGGACTGATAGTGCTGAGGTTTCTTCTCACTGGTTGTGCATATGCCATGCTTGGAACAGAGCCACACATTTCATTTGAGAGAGTTTTACACTGAAAACTACACAGATTGGAAAGGCATACATCCCACTTTTTGATTGTTTAGTGCTGTGGTGTCCAACATGCTAGCCACTAGCCACGTGTGGCTATTTGGCCGGTTGAGCATGGTTAGTTAGTTGGCAATCAAAAAAATGAACGCATGTGAAATTGTCATGTGATTTGTCAGTTTCACATGCGTTCATTTTTTTGATTGTGTCACTTTGGTATATATGGTTGTGCCGATTTTCTTCCTCATATTGATCTGAGGAAATGGGTCTGGCCCACGAAAGCTCATCACCTAATAAACCATCTGGTTAGTCTTTAAAGTGCTACATAGTTCTGTCTTTTGTTTCCATTGAACTTAGTTCCTCTTTCTGGAAAGTATGCTGGGTAGGCCTTCAAGGACAGAAAGAATTGCATCACCTGTACCAGCTACCTGAGTAAGACTTGCTACCTGATCTCTGCCTTTTATATCTGCAGGCACACACTTTTCAGCTGTGTAGCAGTCACAAGGGGAGTGGGGGGAATTAAGCGTCCCCTACTGTTACCCTCACCACATCCACAGTACAATCTTTTACGAGTCTCGCCCTCCCGGTGCTTGTGGGCGTCCCTCACTCTTCCGGTCATCCTCCCTTCCACGGGAGGGGAGAAAAGGGGGCCCGGGCCCGCCCTCACTCATGGACCCCAGTCCAGGGCCCTAAGGTCTTAGACCCTACGGGAGTTCAGTCTGGCTGGCAGGGCTTCCCACCGAAACTCGCCAGCCCACCAACCCAGTCAGGTTCCGCCCTGGGCTGCTTCCTCTCCCCTTCTCTGCGTCTTCCCACCAACCACCTGGGTCAGAGCCTACCAGGTCTCCTGTGTAAAAACCTCCGGCTTGGTCCCTGGGGTGGCGTTTTCCTCAGGCTGCTTCAGGGTCCTTGTCTTACCCGATTCGCCGTCAGTCCTCCCTGGCCCTCTGCAGCTCTCTAGCCGAGGAGGCCTCCTCGGGCATGCTTCCCCTTGCCGCGGCCCCGTTACTTTGCCTCCCCCCTGCTGCCAGCTCTCCCGGCATTTAAATCCCCTGCCACCTCTGGCAGTGCCGGGCCGCGGGGCTGTGACACGCATGAGAGGCGGGGCTCCATAACCCGCCGCGTGGCTCTGCCCCCATTGTGGCTGCGGCGCCTGCGGCTGTCAGGCTCCTCGCTGCCTGCGAGCAGCCTGCGCACAGCCGGTGCCGAGTCTCCGGCTTGGTGCACAAGGCGCGCGCGGCCGGGACTCCGGTGCGGGGCATCCGCACCCTGTCACAAGCTGCTACAAGCTATCCTGTTGCACTCAGCTGCTAATGTCGGTAGCAAATAATGCCTGACAGGATTTAAGAGGATACTTGTCTCCTGTCATACATCTGGATTCCTCTGTGCTTTGAGTGAAGCAGGATTCAGCCACCTTCTCAGGCTAAGATTTTTAATAGTGACCACA